TTTGAAAAGTCTTGTGACAGCGTTTCAAGAGCGGTGTGTGGCCAAGGACTTTCATGGGGCATTCAAAGCCAAGCCCATGTCCTCTCGATGGTGAGCTAGGATTTGAGACTCAGATGAAAATCTTGTTTCAAAATAATCAGTGCAATAACGTCCACTTCCATGCATGATACCTACTGAAGCCAGTTACCTGGGAGGTGGAGGTCCTTTGTCTCTGCAATGACCCATTCTTCTCTCTGGCACCCAAAGGGTTTTGATTTCACCATTCCTCTCCATTGTCAATACTACTCCCTCCTGTAAACCACTCTGCTCCCTCATCTGCGCTTGACCAACCCTCTCTGTACTGGTCTTTCTGCTTCCACGCTCTCTCCCCTCCAGTGTTTTCACCGCCCAACAGCCCCAGCCAACTTTCTGGAAGTAAGATCTTGGCATTTGGCATGCCCTTACTTTAGTCCCATTAATGGAGCTCCGCCACCCCTTGCCTTTAAAATCACAATGGAACCAAACTCATTATAACGGCCCACGAGGGCCTTGTGCTACCTGAACTCCAAGTTCACTGCAGTGCAGCCTGCTCCCTTGCTGCACCACATACCACAGTACCCTTCTTTCTGTTCTTCAAACATTCCAAGCTCATTTTTGCTTAGGGGACGTAGCACATGCTACTTCTGTGTATGAAATGGTTTTCCAGAGATTTCTTTCCCACTGTCTAAAGAACAGTGCATAATGTTAGCAGTCTGTTATGAGTATTTGATCAATAGCCATCTGCATGCACACACCCTGGACACAGACTCAAGAACAATAGCATAGAATTGTGTCTTTCAGATGCTGGCACATAGTCAGTGACCGGTGTGTGTTTGTTGGATGAGTGAATAATAGAGACTGTAGTCTGGACTTTCTACCGTAGGTATTGCAGGTGCTTCACCACTCTTAATGTTCTTGCTTTGCACGGAGGTACTTTAACACTCTTGAAAGTGTATCGTTTCCTTCTTTTGGGTGGGTTTCACACCTAGACAAATGAGGTGAAAGACAATCACATTACATGCAAACTTGATCCTGTGCTCTGACTAGTTCAGCAGTGAATTCCTTCTCTTGCCCTGAGTCTTTGGGAGGTAAAGACTTGCTTCCTGAAGAAGCCACGAAGGTGACTTTAATTGGGACAGTATAGAAGCACTGCCTTTCTCCTGGACAGTTTTGGACTCTAACCAGATAAAGGACAGCATCATAGCGAATTAGCATGCTTGCAGGAAATAAAAGCCTTATTTCAAACTTGTCCACACACAGCAGAGCTTCAAAACACCCAGAGTGCCAGCAAGATATTAAACACAGGACATAGCTTCAAATAAAATAGTTTACATTACTGAACTTGAGAATCCTACAGAGAGGTTAAATCTGATTGGGAAAGAAATCTAAGAAGAAGCTTCTAGATTAGTGTATATGTGACCAAAGTGGGTGATATGGTCCCCCTCAGGGGTACTGAAATAATCCAGAAGGGCTGCAAAAGCAGGCACTTAACACTTTATCCTGCATTATCCACATGGTTTGCAGTTCTAAACTACCAGCAGCTCCGTGGGAGAACGACTGGGCTTTCTACTCCTGTAAACTATCTTGCAAACCCACAGGGCATCGCCAGACTCGAGAGCAATGAGTTTGTTGTTGTTGTTGTTGCTTTTATGGTATGGGCTATAGCACAAAAGTTCTGAATTGCCAGGGTGCTGAGTAATTTGTTTTCTAGAAAGGAGGCAGTTGGGCCAAATCTTGTGGGAACTTATGGTATAGAGTGGGCCAAGTAAGGGTAGTTTTTTGATGGCATCGTTTTTGGACCACATTCTCACAGTGCTGCTTTTCTTTGATTTGCCACAATTTAGGGACAACTTTTAGAGGATGTCAATTAAAGGGACACAGAGATGCAGTTTGGCTGAGAGGCAGTTTCCCTAAGCCCAGTCCAGATCCTATGTATCATTTTGTGTTAAATTAGACATCAAGGAGCCATTTATTAGAGGGGCGAGAAGGAGTGTTGTAATTTAAGAAGGGGCCTACGTGTTTCCAGTGTTGAGACCCACTGAGACAGTAAACCGGAAGGAATTTGCCTCCTCCATGTCAGCGATGGCCCTATTGTCATCTGAAGACAGCTTAAGGGCCTTAGAAACACATGTCAGGGCTTTCAGAATGTGTGTTGAGGGGGTGCGGGTGGGGAGGGGCAGGTACAGGTATATGTGGTAAAGGGCATGCTTGGTGCGTTTGTTTTTGTTTTGCTTTTACATGAGAAAGGGCCGGCTCCTTTGTAACACACTCAGATGAGTGGGCTTGTCACGGGTGTTTTTCTCCAGCCGAGGAAGAGAGATCTGAGTGGGAAAAGTTCAAATTGGGTGTCGAGGGGCAGTAACCCAAGAAGAGGTATGTGCATGTGGTCTCCGTACTTTGGGCCCAGCAGACAGGAGCTTCAAGATAAGCCCACACAAGCAAGATGAGTGAGAATACTTCCTTCAGGTTGGCCTGCGGGGCAGCTCACTCTGCCTTCCCCAGGGAGGCTCTGGGAACAGTCTGGTGAGCTGGAGCTCCCAGGGGTAGGGACTAGCTTGCAGTGGGCAGTGAATTTGTTCTTGATCAGCTGACCCGTCCACATGGCATGCACTACTCATATGAGGAAGCGAAAGAACAGGTAAGCATTTGAAGTAAGACATGCAACTCGCAGGGTAGACTTCAGGGCGTCCTTTGGTTTTTGTTTGATGCTCTGTGTCACTTGCTTTTACAGTTAGAATTAGAATATCGTTTCTTTCCTAGGAAAGTTGAACAAAAGTAAAACACTCACAAAATCTAACAATAGCAAGTAAGCGTCTCCATGATTTCTATTTACCAAGGTTCCTTTCTGAATGAAAATAGCATTACCTGTTGTCTTGCTTATAAGATGCATTCTGTGTGCACTGTACAAATGCAATGTAAGCACTCAGATGTAAGCACTCAGAGATAAGAGGAGGGCGAATATATAAGCCCACTTTCGGAAAAATCTGCTGGTGCATTCGTACGAATTGGACTGCCACCAGGTATGTGCTTTTATCACCTTTTGCAAGACAGCACGGAGGAGAACAGCAAATCCCCATGCACATGCACAAGAGAATGGCATTTGTGCCTTTCATTAACATCTTTTTTTCATTTTGAAAATCTTCAGCATATCCCCAGGGGCAGCAGGGAGGCAGTTAATGCCCTTCTGGAGAGAGGAACTATTGGAAGTTGGCAGACGAGTGCCTGTCCCGTGTCTTTGCGACATTAATCCATCCAGGTTTGGCTGAGCACTTCCTCACGAAGTGATGATTTGAGTATAAGAATGATGCTTATCCCCAACCTAAAGGAATGACAGGGTGTTCTCCTGACATCTTCTCCAGAGTATCTTGGCCCCTTGGACCGACGTGAATGAAACATCCGTGCAGTTTTACTAAACCTCTGGGCCAATTTACCCACCCCCACCCCACCCACATGCTGAGTATGATTATAAGATATCTGTCTTATCCTCATTGAGCCCATGCCAAACTTTCCTCAACTCCGAATCCTTGCCAGGACCCGTATTTACATTTGTAGGCTGTTGTAACAGTCAAGGGCAAATGGAGTCTTTGTCCACTTAGAACTTTCTTCAGCTACTTGTTTCAAAGCAAGGGATGGATGGAGAAATGTGAGGGTCCTCCGAAGTGAAATGAAGGAGGCCATCGAAGTTTATAGTAGGACGAAAGCCAGAGGCTATATAGAGTGAGAATGATGAAGGACAGTCTTAAGAGGCTGGTGTAGGGCTTGGTGGAAATTTTAGTACTGTAAAAACTTGAGAGAAACAGAATAATCAAGGTCAATAATCTCACAAACTACTTTGAAAACAACAAGCTACCTACAAGATCCACACGAGAGGAGCTAGGTTATTTTCCGCCCTCTACCTCTTGAGGGTGCTCTTGAAAACAGACAGATAGGAAGACCTGGTATACCTATTATGGGGAGGCAGGATCCCTAGATGGAATAGCAGGCCTTTGTATTTTAATGAGTAAAACGAAACTCCTTAGACTTGGCTTTTATTGGAGAAAATAAAAACCAAATAATGATCTCATTTCTCACCAGGTAAGTTGTCCTCCCACCAGGTTTTACTGTTCCTTCAATCCCCATTCAAACAAAGAAATTTCATAAAATCCTAAGGGTCTTTGCTGAACAGGTTTTACTGAAATTTAAATGAAACTCTTCCCCTTTGAACACTGGTCAGGCTTTGACAAGTTGAGACTCTGAAGATGTTTAACCCCCAGTTCAGCCCCATCTATATCATTTGACCTTGATCTTCAACCAAGAGTAATGTCGAGAGTTCAAGACGTGAGATTTTTTTATGCCTGCAAAATATTGATTCGCTAGGAATTATACATGCTGTTCATAAAATATTTATGTACCTTTAAGTGTCAATGAACGCATTCTGGGCCTGATTTTCAAACGATCCAATTCATGTCTTTGGGTTTCTTGTAGTCTGGAAAAACTGATAATTAAAAAACCATTAAGTGGAGTAGGGCATCGTGTTATGAAAAGGTGCCAGGTATGGAAAAGGAAGGCACATTTTAGCACTGATTGTATTTCTTCCAGTTGTTACAGGTTTGCATTTAAGCCACTTGTAATATTTCGGGTCACATTTTATAAAACAACAACAACAAAAAAACGGTATGAGAAACCGATACATCTTGTAATAAACGAGACTAGTGGCTTAGCTGTGATGTCAATTAGATTTGTTTCCTTACCACAGCCTAGAGAGCAGTATAGTTTGTGATTAGGGCTTCCCCTCCGGCCCGCCCAGCTCTCTGTCTGCCAATCACCTGGGGATTTATCTGCATTCGGCGCTCGCTGGAGAAAGGTGGAAGCCAAAATGTTGTTGGTATATTTATGCATGTGTGTGTGTGGAAGTGCTGAACAAAGACAAGCTCACGGAAAACACCCACTCAGAGAACCAATAATAACCGCCTCGCCTTGCCTCCTCACTCACTGCCTTTCAGCATCCACTGGAGAGGAAAGACAGCCACAGCAGTTCCCAGCACAGCGTGTCCAGCCACCGGAGCCTGCACGCGGCCTCCCCGAGCCACAGCGCGCAGGTGCTCCCGGAGCACCCAGCCGCCGAGCCCCCCGCACCCGATCCGACGGACAGCTCCGGGCAGAAAAAACCAGATCCTTTTAAAATCTGGGCCCAGTCCAGGAGCATGTATGAAAACCGACGTGAGTAGCACCCTGGCTCCCGCCCTCCCCAGGCTTCCAGCTCTCTTGAGGCTTATCCAGGATGAAGCGTTCTCAGCTTAGAGGTAGATAAATTAAGGTGCCAGGTGAGGGCTTCTTGGAGCGGCCAGTAGACTCTCCTGGTTGTTCACGGAGGGCCATGATGTCTTCGTTGTGGGCTAGCGGGAGAAATCCATGGCTGGATACAAGTGGATGAGCCACTGTGTCATTAATTCCTCCTGAGTGGAGACACTGGCAGGCTCTGGAATCACGCATTGTGAAGCAGCGCAGATACACAATAGAACATAAATATGATTGGCTTTGATTACAGAGGCAATGAGAGGAAATGAAATACTTTCTTAATGGTCTCTTGATTTTTACCAATACTGGTTTTAAAAAAAATCGTTTTTAATGCCATTATCATTTTTTTCTAAACTGTCCTCTTGAAAAGAAGAAAAGCAAAAACAGAGTGGGCTGTGCCTTAATTATTTATACGGTTGTTAAGTATGTTCCTCTCGCTTTTACCTTCACTATAAATAGGAGCTATAGTGAAGGTGTACTTATCCTGTGAGCTCTCACTTCCTGGCTTGTAGCGCATAACGACTCTTCCCCCCTTTCATTTTCTGCTTAAAAAAAAAAAAGAGGTTCAATGGTTTCCGAGGGATTTCCACTGTATATAACATTCATGTATTGTACCAGTGAGTGCTGTGAAACGCTGCCGTGCATTTGGTGGCGTAGACTGGCCTCCTTTTGCCGTGGTTGCTGTTGCTGGCATTTGCCCACGAGTGTTTTGTGGGGAGGAGTTGACTGTGGCGGACACTCCCTTGTGTCCTGGCTTTGGCATAGGGTAGAGCGAATATAGAATGATGGAAGAGATTGCTTTTGTCGAAGGAAGCGCCTGAGAAAAACCAGAAGAGAGAAAGGAATCATTTTGCCTCTCCCCTCCACCCCTCGCCTCGGGTTTCCTCCTAATCAGAGCTGTCCTTACCGCTCAGGCCCAACTTCCAGGTCAAGGTCTGTGAGGTACTCCGGCCCCTTCCTCACCCACTTGGACTTGGCTTGATACATTTCCCTGGGTGCCTACAGCATGCCTTGAGGGACTTCTATGTGACCCAAACAAAACAGGCGGAGAGGCCAAGCATCCCTGTCAGGGACAAGGAAGCAAATGTGGAGGCTTGCTGGGTACCAAATAGTAGAAGTCACTCAGAGCTCCTGAGTGACCCCATACTGTCGCGGTGAGGAACGGAACAGGTAGTTTGAACAAAAGCCAGGTAGTAGGTGAGTGTATTTCATTCATAGGATAGGACTCCCTCTAGTTTCCCAAAGGAAACACGGTTCCATTTGGATCAGTTCTCCTAAGGAGTGGATTGTAAGTATGAACTTTGGTCTGTCCTCACTCATTGACAAAACACTTTCCAAGAGGGCTGTGGCCACGCCCACTTGTCAGTTCTCCCTACCCAGCCGGCGCCTCCAACTTCAGTTGCTGCTGGCGTATTCCTTTATTAACTGCACCCCTGCTTTTCTCAGCACAGCCCACATGTGTGACAGAGCTTTCCAGGGAGGAATCAGTCTGTGGGGAAATAAACAACTGCTGCCAGGGCACCAGGCATGGACGGGAAAATTGAACATACCTGTTGAATAGGACACTCCGGCTCAAATGCCACACTCATCCTTATTTAAGCAAAATTTCTGAAGAACATCGCAATTGCTCAGGTAGCAGCCAGGCCCGAATATTCGGAAGAGTGTCAGTACCAAATGGGCCCCTCACCTCCTCTGCCATGTAGGGGGTGGGCTAGAGCAAGCGGCACAAATGAGAACCCACTTCTTTTCATGGGCAGATGGCCCAGGAAACAAGGCCAGATTCGTCAGTAAGCAGAAGCAAGCCTGTACTTACCTGGCTCACTGGGTATTCGGTCCTGTCACCGATGGTCCATTTGAAAACAGGCTTTGATTCTGCAGGAAGGTGCTGCGGGGTTGGGAAAGAGGCAGATGCCAGCCGTACTTAGAAGCCAAATTTATGATACCGTGGGGAAAAAATGTGAAGTTGCTCACTCCTGATTAGTACTGAACTTGCTTGTGTGGACCTTGCTTATTTGGCAATCTGACACTGATTAGAGGCTTCGTAATTGAGTGGTAACGGCAACTTAATGGAAGTTAAGCTTCACATGGATTTCTCCCTCATTGCTAAATGAGGGTAGTGTTGAGAGGTTTCCCTCGGTGGTAACTATTCTGTAACTGCCACCGATTTCCTTCTTTTGACAGTCCCTACGCATGAACCAGCGGCAGCCTTCTCTTTCCATCAGCATGCCCTTGTATCCCCAGATCCATTTTTACCACCCCCTTGGATTGTTTTGCGGTGTTTTCCTTTGCGTGTGGGTCCCCTCATTCAAATTGACCCATGCTCCTCCCCCCAGACACTACAATGAGCGAATAGTGCAGATCAAACAGAAAGACTACCGTCAGCCCCGTCCCCTTTTTGTTGAAGAGGTAGTTTCCTTGTATAGTATTGTATTGTAAAAGACGATGTGGCACATGAGTACAATCTCTGATGGAATTTTTTCACATAGTCTCCATAATCTGAGAAAAGACTACATTCTTGATGTGGCCATCTGTCAAAACAGCAACCACATGAATCAGTGTGAACGGCAGATGTGTTCATGAATCCCTTTGAAGGGTTTAAATGGTTAATTAAAAAGCAAAGCAGAGAAGGCCTTTAAAAGCCATCTTGTCCATGCTGCCTTTTCTCTAGATAGCATCCTAATTGTGCATATGTCTTTTTAAAAAGACAGCAGTGCAGTCTTATTAGTAAGCAAATGCTTGGGAAAAGAACTGGTACCCAAGAATATTTACAGAAAGAACTATAATGCTTTCCATTGAATTTTTGTGTGCTCACAGGATAGTTTGCAGGGGGGGGGGGAGCTCAACACGACTTATTCAGCAATATTGTAAACCTGTCATGCTCAAGAGAGATACGCTTACAAATGAGGAATTGGTGTGTGGGCATCTTTATCGCCATGAGTTTAAGAAGCTTGGGCGTGCATCGAGATTTAAAGAGCTGTGATGACAGTTCCTATTTGTGTGTTTGTTCAGATCTTAGACAGATCTGATGATTGGTGTCTCTATAAATATAAGACTATTCTTGTTTCAGCTGCCTGGAATTCACCCTAACAGGTCTTAGTACAAGTCTGAATTTTCTCTGGAACTTGATATTTTTTTCCAATTAATGGAGTAGTGTAGCAATGAGACAAGTCCTATTTAATTTTTTTCTTTAAAGAAATAATGTAGAAGAACCTTCTAAAGTTCTTGACATGATTAAAACAAGGTCACATAAGAATTCATACTCCTAATTTAAAATGAAGTCTAAGGTGGTCATTGAAGTTTTCTGAAATTCTTACGGTACAATGGCAAAATACTAGCTTTTTGACCAAAAAGAAAAATCACCATGAATAAAAGAAAAAAAAATTTTCAGTCAAACTATAGTCTTTCAGAATCTACAGCCGCCACGACCTTTAACTGTGAAAGCTGAACTGCATGCTGCTTATCAATCAAAATGAAATTAACATGAACTAAGAGAAAGCATATATATGACACTTTGCAAAATTGTGAAATTAATATTCTAGCCATGTCACCTTCGCCTGCATCGGGATTGAGCAAGGGTGAGAGAGAGAGAGAAATCAATTCAACGAACTTTGGAGAATGTCAGAGTAAGAATCCACTGGAAACTTTTATTTTCCCATTGTTATTCATCCTGTTGAGTGTCCCCACTGGTCTTGCGGGAGGGGGGGAGGGTGCCTCGGGCAACACTCAGAAAAGGGTGGAAGAAAAGGCAAAGCCACGAGGGAAAGTGCTCACTGACCACAGACGAGATGAAAAACAGTCACCTGCACGTCTCTGTAGGAATGGAAGCACCAGGGCTTCTTTCAGACCTGGTGGTTCCATGCGTTCTAGTTACCAAGGGAAGTCTTTTGAGTGCTCAACGGTGTCTAACTGCCGAGACTGCTCCCAACACAAAAGCTTGAAATTAAGAAACCTGGGCAAGATGATCTTAGCCCTATTTCATATCACCTCACTAAATTTTAAAAAACGAAAGATATTATTAGCAGAAAGATGATTCTACTCTGCTATCTCCTAAAAACTCCATTCTAATAAAACTTGACCAAAATCAAACGAGCTAATACTTTGGGGTGGGTTTTTGAGAAACTTCAAATACCTCCGTGACGAAGAGGTATCAGAGGCAAAAGAAGAGATTCTCTAATCCCACAATACGTCCTGCCGGAGTTACATAATGAAGTAAATGGCGTTTAGTTCTGGAACCATTACAAACACTGGACTACCCAATGTCGAGCCAAAAGGCTTCCTTTGTGGCATGCCTGTGAGTTGTGCCCCGTTGGTGAACGATCCTTGATATCTTGGCGTCATTGAGCATCTTCCTTTTCAAGAGACAAATACATTTGCCATTCTTGCCCTGAACCTGTCACAAACAAATGGTCTTTTCTTATGGACTAAACCGTATGATAAGCCTAGGTTTCTCGGCCACAGCCTCTCATACCACGAGGAGCAATTTCGGCAGGGACTTGCTCCATTTGGTATATCACTGCAGGATGGGCAAATGTCCCTGTGCTAAATGAGGCTGAGAAAACCGGGTCTGTGCTGGAGGTCTCTGCAGAGGCAGTTCCACTCCGGTGTTGACAGAAATGCCACGTATTAGGAAGATGTAGGCAGGCTCCGCCAGCAACCCCGCGATGACTGGAAAGCACTTGCAGACGACTCTGGTAATAATCCTCTTGCTCAAGTGAACCAAAGACAGAGCCATAACTTGATTTAATTTGTTGTTTCAATGAGGCTATTACGGCCAATACCCTTTAACTAGCTACTCAAACAGAACAAAAACATTGTTACCTTAGCTTGCACAAGCAAATATTCTCAAATTGGGTTTATGGGAGTTCTGTGAAGCAGCTTAGCTTCATGTTCCATGACATTTTACAGCTTAGCCTCAGCAATTATAATAAGGGCACGTTGGATAAAAAAAACCTGACTCAAGCCATGGTATTAAGGAAGCTCAAGAAAAAGATCAGAATCAAACATCTCTGACAGGTACTCACCTGTTCATTTCCTTTCCTCCCGCTCAGATTATTCATTGTGCATTTTAAACTCCTGGGTGGGTCACCAAACGGACAATGCTCACCACGTTAACATCTACACTACCCACTTCCTGCATCCCCATTGGAGGCAAATATAATCCAGAGGCCCCTGTGCTCCTTCAACCCCAAATCGAGCTAATTAAATAAACCAGAAAAATATTGGAAAATCTCTCTTGGGGCAGCAGCATTTAATTTTTTTTAATCTTAAAATAAAAGCAGTGTCATTTTATAGACCATAAAACATACTGTGTACACATTGCAAGATTAAATAAGAATTAAATAGAAATAACCCCCTTTTATTGGCCTCGTTAAGTACTAAAGTGGTATATAGAACAAATTCACATACATTAAATATTACGGAAATTACTGTAAGAAAAATGAGATTTTCATTTTAGAGTCCTGGAGCACTGCTCAGTTTTCACAGTAGAAATCAAGTTATTGGATAATAAATTAATACTTGCAATGTTGAAAGATTATAGGCAAATCCTGGAGTAAAGCAGTTAATCACTTTATCAATGAGATAGGGTTCATTAATATAGAACTTTTTTTGTCATCTTTGACCTTAACGATAAGGAAGGCCACCATTTCGGGGTAATAAAACTAAAATCATAGTTAACCTCGTAAATTGGGAATATTAGGATGCTAGTAATATAAAAATGCTAGAAACAATGTTTATTAGTGATTAAAAAAAACATCCAACAGATCAAATACTAGCACTGCTGGTCTTGATTATTTAAGGGAGTAAAACTGACTTAAGAAGATATCTGAAATCCTAGCACCAGCTTCTGCTTCCGCAGTTACTCTTGACTTGACACGAGCTGTCTTCCAAGACATGGTCACTCCGTGGAGGTATATAGCACGTCACCACTCTAATTTACTTATTTGCCCTTGCAACACGACAGTGAGGAGTAGGCTCGGCTAACTGAGCTTAGGGGCAATCCTACCTCTGTCTCCGTTAGGAATTATCAAACAGTGATTAGTCCTTGGGAAGAAAGAAGGGGCTCAGTGGCTGTTCCCAGTATTTACGCTCACCTGGTGTCACCCATCATTCCACCATCTTGCAGGGGTCCTCAAATGCGGCCCGCGGGCCACATGCGGTCTGCCAGGGACGTTTATCTGGCCCGCTGGGTGTTTTTGCCCCATTTGTTTTTTTACTTCAAAATAAGATATGTGCAGTGTGCATAGGAATTTGTTCATAGTTTTTTTTAAAACTATAGTCCGGCCCTCCAACGGGTCTGAGGGATAGGGAACTGGCCCCCTGTTTAAAAAGTTTGAGGACCCCTAAGATGTTGTCTCCCCGTCTGCCTTAGAAACGTTTCGTCTACTCAGCCACCATTGGTTCTGCTCCTGTGAGTGGTTCACCTTTGAAACACAATACCTTGGATCAGAGAAATAATCCCTCTCTTCCTGTTTCCCTCCCTGCAGTTCCAGATTACCAAGAACAGGACATCTTCCTATGGAGAAAAGAGACTGGATTTGGATTTAGGATTCTGGGCGGAAATGAACCAGGGGAACCCGTGAGTCTTTTTGTCTGCCTTTCTCCCTGGTACTGTTTGGGATTTTTGTTTGTTTGGTTGGTTGGTTGGGTTTCTTTGAGACTTCAAAGGAAATTGGCAGGAGTGACAAATCATTCAGATGTGAGTCCAGCTAGGTGTAATAATGACTCTTTCATCTTGCGCAGAAAGTTATTCATTAGATTTCAGAGAGCTCTTTTGTGTCCTGAGGGAAAAGGGACCAGGCCCTTTCTAAAAAAGTTCACATTGGTGTTTATGAAAACTGGCTGCCGCAGCATCTACAACATTCTCCATTAGGGCAGATGGAAATGAAGAACGAGATTGGAATAACCAGTCAGCACCAAGTTACTTCTGACCGGTGGTCAGTCCATGTGTTTGGTGCAGAGGGGAACGGTGCTCTGTGGGGCTGTCCTGACTGTGCCCTTCCAGAAGCAGATTCCCAGACTTGGCTTCTGAGGCGCCTCTCCAGGGGTTGGTTAGCGGTTAAGTGTTTAACCCTTTGAGCTACCCACGTATTCTTCAAAATAGAAGTGGTCATCAATAAATAAAGCAATGACCTGCACCTTCTAGCCAATTGTTGTTGTTTGCCAGCAGTCAGTTGACTTTGTGTATTGATTGGCTAGTGCTGAAAGAGCCTTGTGCAAGGCTGTCTGAGAGGTTAGATAAAGTAGGAACACTCTTTACAAAAGCAGAGAAGGAGCGCGGCAGGAGTCAGGGGAGGCATGCTTTGTGAACCAAGGTACCGTATATGCTCGGGTAGAAGCCAACCCGAATATCCGCCGAGGCACCAAATTTCTCCACAAAAACTGCATTAAAAAATGTGATGAAAAACCCGGCGTAAGCCTCTGTCTTTGCAGGACTATTTTGGAAAGAACAAAGAGAACTGTTGCTAATTCTTTTCTAATAATAAAAACGATTACACATTGAAGGAACCTTGGTGGCACCACTAATTAAGTGATGAACGGCTAAATGAGAGGTTGGTAGCGTCCATCTACCTGGTGCTGCGATGTTGCTGTTACTGAGCAGCTCCCTGGTGATCTGCTTTTGCAAGGAGCGTTGTTGCTGCACGCTGGCCTTGCTGCTGCTTCATGATGATCCTCTAGGACAGAGTAGAATTGCCCCATGAGATTTACAAGGCTAGAGATCTCCATGTCTTTCTCCCACAGAGCAGGTGGGTTTGAAGCACTAACCTCTCTGTTAGCCCTTAGCCCCTGTGCTGCCAGGGCTTTTCCGTGAGGACTGCTGGGTAGTTCTCTTCTGTAACATATACGGTAACTAACTAGGAGTCCCAAATTGGCTTGGCTGCCCCCCAAAACAACCATATCTATAGAGTGCTGGTTATGTGCTCCACGTGATGCTAAAAGCTTTTAACCTACACGGTATTCTTTATCCATCAAATTCATAACTTATCTTCTCTATGTGTTGCATGAAAACAGAAAAAGACAGAAAGGTTGATTAACTTGCCCCAAAAATCACAGGGCGAGTATGTGAAGTCACTGGAAAGCTGCTTGATGTCAGAGGTCCTTCTCAGAACCACTGTAGTCTAGGTCCTTTGTAAATTAGTACACATGCCTAGTAAGGTTGTGGCATCATTATTATGTACTGAGAAGGAAGCACATGTCGTTTAGCTAAAGTTCTATGAATGGCGTCTGTAACTTCACTCTGATCCTAATGTCTGTTCTGCATGCAAAGGCTAAAGCAATGCAGAAAGGCATTACCTGAGCCAGACTTTCCTTGGTTCATTCAGTCATTTCAGTGTATTGGGCATTCCGTTCAGCCAGGTACAGTGCTAGGTCCTTAAAGGAAAGTAATTAGTACTATTACTACTAATTAAAAGAGTCTTATGAGAGTCCTTAAGTAGATAAGACATGTGAAGAGGTGGAGATTCAAGCTATTTATGGAGCGCCTGGGTAACACAAACTGCTAATGCACTTGGCTGCCCATCCAAAGGTTGGAGGTTGGAGGGTACCCAGGTAGGACTCAGAAGAAAAACCTGGGTACCTGCTTCCTCAAAATCAACCATTGAAACCCTGGTGAAGCACAGCTCTAATCTGACTTCCCAGGCGCTCCCCAGTCTGCACAGGGGTAAAGGACAGAGAGGGTGCCACCCAGCAGGCCCCACGTGAATGCCATGTCCCCTAGCAGAAGACCAATGGATTGAATTGTTCTTGCAAATGTGAAAGTGGCAGTGTAGTAAGAGTAAACCAAGAGGGCAGTGTTTCATCCGTTCTCCAATTGCTTGGCAGATTTATATCGGTCACATTGTACCACTGGGTGCTGCTGACACGGACGGCCGCCTGAGGTCTGGCGATGAATTAATCTGTGTCGACGGGACACCAGTAATTGGAAAATCACACCAGCTTGTAGTCCAGCTCATGCAACAAGCTGCCAAGCAAGGTCACGTCAATCTCACGGTGCGGCGGAAAGTGGTGTTTGCTGGTATGTGCTTCATTCCTTCCTTGTCGTTTTGTGCACCGAAAAGGCCCTCCTTCCTGTGCCTGCCTCCTCAAGGATCTATTTTACCAAGTGCTTGCAAATGTGACCAAGTTCAGAATTCCCAGATGGTTTGCTTCCCTCAAACCATGCGACGCTCCTGTCATTCAAAGGTACTTGGATGTGTTCTACACACATGTTCAGCAAAGGCTTCTAAAAGGTGGCTAATTGCACATACATTGCTTCCCCTTACCCCATGCTCAAAAGGAGTTAGTCATCCTTTTCACTGGAGGACAAATTTCAGAAATACAAAAGAGGTGGTTGGGAGGTCAGAGGAGTGGTAGCATCAGACCAAAACCTTAGGGATTTCTTACTCCATTGTCGGTTGTCATGTGAAGGTGAGGGTTTTTTCTCTTCTCTACAACTGTTACAGCGCTGGCCAGTTCTCAATCATTCTTCATTCCTTCCTCCTGATCACAGTCTTCCAAGTTCATAGCTCTCAAAGTAGTATGTATCCTTTAAGGCTCAAATACAACCTTCTCTCTGAAATCTTCAGAAATCCCTTCCTCCATCTTTTTTGCCTATCTTGTGACTCTTACTTCTATTTTAAAGCAGTAGTATAAGTATCTGCCCATTCCATTGACTAGCCAGTGTCTGAAAAACAACATACAAAATGATTTTTAATCTTTTCTATGCAGTCCCCACCTGGAACCATTCAAGACAGAACTCAGGGTGCGGAACAGCCATAAAAAAAAGTTGTAGCTTTGAATTGTCAAGGAAAGATGACATGAAATATTAATGGAACAAATGTGTATATAAAAAAAATCTTTCTGCCATGGAGTCTAGATGAAATTAATTGGTGCTCATGTTTTTTTGTGTGTGTGTTTTTTTAAGTCAAGTTTAAGTGGCAAATGATTAATTATGGCGTTAAGATCTCAAATTTCAGTGTGAGCGCTTGCTCTATCATTTGCACTCAGAGAAAGCCAAGTTAACCATAGATTTCCCCCCATGGAGCTTATTTACAGCCTCAGCGCCTTAACATTGCGTTCCAGGCAGCCAATAGCAATCCACAGAGTTGGCTGATGAGATGAGATGAAAACTATGTCTCATGTCTGGTCCAAATAAGAGTCGAACCATGTGAATTGGATGTTTCAGATTTAGTTTTAAAATCTAAACAATGTAGATTTTTAGTAGTGTTTCCAAGGAATCTTAAATCTATGAAGAGGAAAACTTTTGAGAATAAATATAATCTTATCCAAAAGCTGGGCGTGAAGCCAAGAGTCAGTCAGTCCCACCTACCACTGGAGCTATCTCAGCCATGTAGTCACATGTGGAGGGTCCTGGGTTCTGAAGTTGGCTGAAGTGCTGAGGTGTGTGATCTGGGTTGATAATTGACATCTGGAAGCTAGGAACGGAAACGCACTATACCTCGGACAGAGTGGTGACTTTAATGGTTACGTCGCTGCACAGCTCTGATGGAAAGGCAAAAGCAGAGCGATTGGGAAGCCAAGTCAAAACATGACTTGGGGGAGTGGGCGGGGTGGGGGGGGGAGGTAAAAAGATGAACTTGAAGTTGTGTTTTTATCTACAGAACAAAGGTGGCCAATCATGTGGCCCTACACCTACATGTAGCACAAGGGTTCCTTTGATGTGTTCAATGGCAGATGCATCCCTGTGGGCTGGCCTTGCTGCAGAGGGTGGATGTCGCTTTGCAGCATGCTGTAAAAATAATACATGATTAGAAAGCTTTTTTTATGTTTATGGGGAAATCAATGTTAGTGGCTATCAGGTAGTAAATACTTACCCAGAAGAAGCTGGTTCATGGTTCTCTAGTTCTGAAAGGCTAGGAGCCGTGTTCTCTTCCTCGCTGGATGCCTTCCTCCTTGTGAGGTTGGGGGACAGATCAGGGACAGAGGGCCCCGCTTTTGGGTACCGTTACATAATGTAGACGTGAATCACTCTGTCACAGTCCCCAAAACAGAGAACGAAGTGCCCTCGCCAGCCTCATCTCATCACAGTAGCAACCAGCCGGCCTCCCTGACGGAAGAGAAACGCACCCCGCAGGGCAGCCAGAATTCTCTGAACACGGTCAGCTCGGGCAGCGGCAGCACCAGCGGGATCGGCAGTGGAGGAGGCGGCGGCAGCGGCGTGGTGAGCACCGCGATCCAGCCCTACGACGTGGAGATCCGCCGCGGGGAGAACGAGGGCTTTGGCTTCGTCATCGTGTCGTCCGTGAGCAGGCCCGAAGCAGGCACGACTTTTGGTGAGCATTGGACATGATTTTCCCTCCCAGATTTCGTAGGATGCCAGGGCAGTGAGTGTTCCATTGCAAACAAAAGATGGCCAAAAGCTCATTAGCAGAAATGCTTTAATGCTTTCACCTTAGGTGATTAAAGTCTTAATTGGGGATGGCGTTTATGATGGTATTTTTTTTCCTTCCGGAATCTTTTATTTATTTATTTTTGGGGGTGGTGTGTGCTTCAACCCCTCAGTTTCCATTCTGAATGTGTGTTTAAACGCACAACCAACTTCAAGGATGTATGGGCGTTTGAATAGCAGTCCCCAGACCCTGAAGAGTGTCAGGAATATTTGCGAAGAGAAAGAGTGGGCAAGCATTAATAGCAGTTGCCTCAGAATGTCTTAAGAGTTTTAAACAGGAATCTATGGTTGTAAAAATGCCTATGAAAAATAGAGGTGTTCAGAGTAAAAATATTGCACAAGAAGTCTTTACCCGCCTCATCGGTGTCCTTTCTGTACCCGGTGCCTATCTGAAGTCGTTTTTGTTCTTCCCCCAATTGTAAGTGCAGTTACCTGGTTACAATTCTGGTTACAACCTAAACTAGAAACGTTTGCCTCTGCCCTCTTGAACGTCTAGCAGGGTGGATTTTTCCTGCCGCTGCCAGATCTTGGGGGCTTCAGCTGAGTATGGGGCAATACCAGGACCTCCTTCTCAGAAGGTTTACTACTAACTGCTGCTGCAAAGACAAACAGGAACCCGGATGATTCCAGGAACCCGTGACTTAGGAATCCATTCCCATTGGGATGAATTCTAGACTTGCGCTTCAAAAATGCGCTAACTCCCTGATTAGATTTTAAAAAGCATTTGTTATCTCCTGATAGCAAATTCATTGGTTAAAATGGGACAGGAGAGGGGGGAGGCACTGAAATTGACCTCACCTCTTACCCAAACGACTTCCTCCACATGGACTCTGGTGACCGGGGGCAGAAGGCGACAAGCTACACAATGCTATAGCCCCTTAGCACCAGAGCCTGTGCATTTTAGTCTCATTCCCATGCTGCCTGCCAAAGCCATTTCCCCCTAAGTTTTGTTCATTAAAAGAGAGTCCTCCAGGTCTGATGCATGTGTGGCTGCAGTAACAAATGCCCATCACTAACCATGCTTTTGTGAGCTCCATTAATGAATAAAGTGTACACAGCATGTCATGGGTGAATAACGTGTATTTGAGCCAAAAGCAAGTTTTAGATTTGTTTTGTTTTGTTTTTAATTTCTGAAGCTTTTCTGCCTAATTTAAATGCAAAGCGGAGTAGAGGGGATGGGAGATTCTGGTTCTTATTATTATTTAATCTTCGATTTGACTATCCCCATGTCCCTGGTGATGTCTCAGAATTTCAGAGTTATCTGTTTCACTTTCCAGAGAGGGGGGCGGGGGGGAATCACAATGATATCAAGTGACAAGCTGTGTTATATGATGCATATTGAATGTCTTCACTCTCCAATTGGCCTTTGACTGGTGTCCTTTTGCCCTTCCACTGAACAAATTGAACTTTCGCTAATACTGTGCATGAGATTTCTCTTCTAAGCTAGGCAGAGCTTGTCTCATCCCTGCTGTTTGTCTCCATGCCTCGTGCAGGTTGTCCTTAGAGGTGGGCTAGACTTAGTCAAGACCTTGCATTGAGTTTGGAAGCTGGCCACCGCACCTATCTATTGGATTTCAATAGACCGCTTACCACCACCAACACCCTTTTTGGGGTCTTTGATTTGGCCTTACACCCAGTGACATAAACACACGCACATGTGAAGTTTAAGTGGATTCTACTACTTTGTCCTGTGCATTTGATCTTCCGGATCCAAAACGTGCTGGAAGAGCCTATCCAGTTAGCTTCTTCAGTGTCACCCACGTGACTTTTAGTCACATCCTTTCCAAAGAGTGGCGCACCTACATAACTCCTTTCACGGGCCTCAGAAAGACAAGTCCTTGAAATAGGAGAATAAGACCGTGTGAAACTCAGTGCAGAGTCTAGGAATTTTCTAGAAGCTCCCTATCCGGTCTGAAAGCTGCTTTTCCCCCTTTCTCTGGAAATGAGCCACGGCATGCCCCACCTCCAAGTGTGCAACAAACCTCCCTCTTCAAGTGCACTTTCCCCAGTTTTCAATGTCGTAGACGTGCAATGATTTCCAACGACCAAAGGAAAAGGGTGGCGAGGTGTTTTGCGCCTCGCTTTGGATCCGTGTCCTCAGCCTGAGTAGGCACTACTCGTACATGTCCCTTTGAGGGGATCGCGGACAAGAAGGAGGATTGCAGAGCTAATGAACCAGTGGGTCTCTCCTCTGAAAGCCCTCAAATAGGCAGATTGAGCAAAGGTCATAAAAGGAAAAACAGGTGTCAAGGTTGGGTGCTTTCTTGGCTCCTCTCTTATAATTAAGCTGCCCCCCCTCCTCTTCTTCCTAAAGCTTTCATCATGCTGGGTGGAGGGCAGAAAGGCTGAGTGCTTATCCATTAAGCATTTACAGATTGAATTCTTGGTACTGGGAGAGCCTTGTCTCACCAGACACCCAGTGATTAGTTTTCTAAATGGAGAAAGAGCAAAACATTGGCAGAAGCTGAAACAACAGCTGGCAAACATGAAGTACCCCGGACACAGAATGTGTGATGACGTCCGTCTCAGCTGTGGGTTCTCACCTTCGCCGTCCCCAGATAAGCCAACGGCGAGTTAGTTTTGGCCTCTTGAGAGCCTTTGAAATGACTCAAGGTCCTGAATTTTGTAATTGATTTAGGGAGGGGACACGGGTTTCGCCCTCATTGAAAATTAAGAAAAGACTGCAGCAATAAGCTATAATTCCAGGGCAGTCACTTCTCACACAGAGACCCTGATATTGCCAATGTTTTGACCCCCAGCGCTGAGCTCTCCTTTAATAACATTTGCTTAATGCTTTAATTAATTAACACTTAACCTTCTCTTTCCCTTTTCAACCCTTTTTCTCCTCCCTTGATTCTATTCCCACATAACTTTAAAAATGAAATAAAATAAACTGAATACCCAAGCAGGCAATGCATGTGTGGCTATGCCTCACAAAATAGGTCGGATTATTGAGGGGAGCCCTGCTGACCGCTGTGGCAAGCTGAAAGTAGGAGACCGGATCTTGGCAGTGAATGGATGTTCCATCACCAACAAATCCCATTCAGACATTGTCAACCTAATCAAAGAAGCAGGAAACACAGTTACCCTCCGCATCATTCCTGGGGATGGTAAAGTATACCTATTATCTCTACCCCTCTTCCCCCTCTTGTCGTCTCTTTCTCTCGCTCATTAGTGTTCATGTAATTGAATAATGTTGATTTAGAGGCAGCCTTATCCATCCTAACTGGACATACTCATCAAACAAGTGTGAGCCATTGTTACTAAACCACACCTCACTCCCCTTCCTACTTAAACCTCATGATCTGTGACCGGGACTCTACAGATAGCAAAGTTTATAAACATCTTCAGCTTATCGCCAGCTGGTTTTGGTTTGGGGCCCTAGTCTTTAAAGCTGAATGGTGATTTTCTAGCAGGTAATAAAGCTCTCCTGGTGTTCCCTGAGGGTGTCACTTATGGTGTCTTTTCCAAACAGCCACTGAAATAGAACTGTGCAATATGGTGACGTCCTGAAAGTTACAGAATGACAAGGTGGAGCCAATGCTGTGCTAGTTTCAGAATCATTGGTTGTGTCAAATTTGTTGTTTGTTTTCTAATGTAATTAGAAAGCCTTGGGGTTTTGTCTCATTGATTTGTTCTAAACTTTTGAACATGGTTGAAGAAATCATTAAATCTCTATAGTTATGGTAGACTATATATTTTATTATCCATGTTCTTTTTCTTTTTTTTTTTTAAATTTGATTGGTTAAATTCCATCTATGGTTCCTTTTCACCAGTGGTCCTCAACTGGAGGTGAATTTTGGCTACTAGGATACATTTGGCAATCTAATGGCATCTAGCAGGTAGAGGCCAGGAACACTTCTAAACCACCTACCTTGCCAAAGGAATCTCCCACAGCAAAGAATTAATGATGTGGCACAAAGTATCATCACTCGTTTTAGAAACCTTATCTGGGCAAGATGAAGTTGAGACACTAATGTCCTTCTTCAGAGGAGTAATTCCCACACACTGACTTCATTGCAGGCAGATTTTTCCCTTGGCACGAAACTCATACTTGGTCTAGAATGTTTTAATTTTTTCTTTTTCTTTTTTTTTCCCATACAACTTCTAAAATAAAATACCCCAGTACCTTCTGAAAGACCATGAGTATTTCTAAAGAGGAAAATTTCACTTATGGAAGTAGTTTCATAAACAAAATTTCATGCCTTACCAAAAAATACGCTGCCAGGAGTCAATGCTGACTCATCGCAGCCCTCTGGAACAGGGGAGAACGACCCCCACGGGTTTCTGAGACCGTGTCTCCTTTTGGAAGTAGAAAGGTGCCATCGATCTGTAGAATAGGAAAATCCAACATTCACTTTGGAGAATGTAATTTACCAAAGGAATCTGTATATTAGGAACTTCTGTTGGAAAGTGGGCCTCCGAGTTTAAATTCTCAGTAGTGTTGTCTGTGCCTTTCTGGGAAAAGTAAGCCCCAAACCCAGTGGTCAATATCTGAAGATCCTTGGTTCCAAGAACAGACATGTTCTGTGGACCAAAAATACTCTACACCAAATGGGGAGGAAGAAATGGTAGCCCCTGGAACGGTGGTCTACTGCACACTGCGTCAGACACATGATTGGTCATTTGCCATCTGGTCTGGAGCCCATTCCACCGACTCACAGCTCTGAAATGCTAGGACAATTTAGGAAAGTAATCACAAGATGACAGAACCTAGGTTTCTAATGGAAATTGTGAAGGAAGCCACACACAGAAAACTACATGAGATAGGGTCAAGAGAGCCAGATGTGGTTTATAAATCTAGACATACTCATCTACTTACCAGGGGGAGATTGCAGAAGATGAATCCAGAACATGTGGACACAGGGCTTGGTGTTTGGATATACAGCATGAAAGTAGAAAAGTCCTCTTGGCCCTTATCAATGTGGAAATGCGAGTGTAAAAGAGGAAGGAAGGAAGGAAGGAAGGAAGGAAGGAAGGAAGGAAGGAAGGAAGGAAGGAAGGAAGGAATGGAGGAAGGGTTTAGAGAAAAAGTTTGAAACCAAGTAAAATGATTAAAAGGAGCGCGTTATCCCATAGTGCCTGTGGTAAGTGGTGCTCTAGTTGAATAAAGAACAATGTAAGATATTTTTGGAATGCCTGAACACCAAGGGATATAATACAAGATGATTTTCCAGTGGCTAGTTGCCAATAGAGTAAGGTGACCAGATTTTAACATTGGTAAACGAGGACATCATTGATAAAACTCATATCCTGCCAAAAATAGTCACATGGCAGCCGAAAACCGAATACCCTAGCTTGTCGTGCATTCTTTCCAAAAGTTGGGACTTTTAAAAAAACACTGCGGGACGTTGGAAAAATTGTTAAAAATCGGGACAGTCCCACCAAAAGCGGACGTCTGGTCACCTTACAATAGAGGCATAGTTATTTCAAATTCTTTTTTAAACATTCAAATAGATATACCATACTTAATGTTGGTTAAAACAAAGAATCACTGATGATACAGGAGTTAAGTGCCTCACTGTGAGGGTCAGCAAGTCAAACCCACTGGCCGTTCTGCCGGGAAAGACGTGGTGGTCTGCTTCCGCAAACCCTCTGGGACAGGTCTACTGTGTCCTGTCGGTTCACCACAAGTCAGCAAGCCAATGCAATGACAACGGGTTTTGTTTCCGTTTTACCTTTCTCAGAAGAAAGTCAAGCTTAAAAGTGGGTACTATGTGGTTAAGGATTTTTTTTTAAAGGCAGCACCTATTCTGCTGAAGAGATGATTTAATTCCAAGATATTTCAGGGATCGGTTGCCACGATAATGAAATCTTTCACCGATTACAGGGTAAATTTCAGAGACCAGGTACAGGGAATCACATCTGGCAATGGTGAACATGGGATGCTCATCCCTTTCAAAAAGAGACGTGTCTCAGAGTCAACCCTAGTTCACGGCAATCTCAGGTGTGTCACAAGAGAACTGTGCTCCGTGGAGTTGACCATGGCTAGGTTTTTGGAGGTAGATTGCCAGACCTTTCTTCTGAGGTGCTTCTGTGGAATCAAACAGCTAACCCTTCAGTTAGCAGCCTAGAACTTAAGCTGTTGTCTACCACAAAGAATCTGGCTGTCTTCAAATTTAGTGCTGGGAGTTAGATTTCAGGGAATGAACCCTGAGGGGTTCCGCAGGGTTTTGCAAACACCTAGGAGACAGAGTGCGCGGTGGGGTCTGGGGTCTCATGAAGAGAAAGCCACTGTGCGTCAGCCCCCTCCTCTGAAAGGGGCTTGGCCGCGGCCGTTTGAATGGTAAAAGGGAGGTCCTCTTTGCCCTCGGCTCTTTCCCCAGAACATTTAGTTCATCAATTAGCCCCTCGATTTATTTCCACGGAACAGTTAGTTCATCATTTAGCCACTCTATTTCATGACACCATGAGGGGAGGAGGTTTCTAAGTGTGGTGGTCTGCTCAGGGTTTCTGTTCTCCAGTGCCCAGAGAGAGGCCCCAGCAAGATGCACTCTGGTTTGGGCGTGACTCAGAACCTACTCCGAATCCACTTCTTCAAGCCCATTTGGCCAGTTTTCTTGCCTTGCCAGGGGTCTCCTCATTCTGCCTCCAGCTTCACTTTTCTTGGCTTACAGGTTCCCTTGTTCTGTGTCCCTCATTTCTCTCTCAGCTTGTGGTCTCTGTCAGCCCCCTCTCACACGAGCTCTATAACATGTCTCCCCCTTTTTTGGCCTCATCGACTTGTTAGACAGCTTGCCAACTAGATTAGTGGGAGGCCTGCATGATCTCTCTTTGGGGAGCAGGGTTGGTTGTTGGGGCAGCAAAACTTTGCCTCCTCTGAGTCACATAAAAACCAAAAAACCAAACCCACTGCCATTAAGTCGATTTCCAACTCATAGCAACCATATAGGACGGAGTAGAATTGTGCTTGTAGGTTTCTGAGACACTTAGCCTGGATGGGAATAGAGAGCCTCCTCTTTCTCCTGCAGAAGAGCTGGTGGTTCTGAACTGTTGCCCTTGTGGTTAGCAGCCCAACATGCAACCCACTACACCACCAGGGGTTGTTCCTACATAGATAATGGCATCGCAGAGAATAGCTGAATGTGCTTGACCTTGAAAGTTGATATTTCAAACCACACATGCCTCCCACCATTGCATCCTGTGGAAATGCCCTTTGAAGGCTAGGTGTGAGAGAGAATTTGATCAGAGAGGACCAGTCTAGACTAAGCCAGGCTCATGAAGAATTATCAGGCTAAATCAAGTTATTTATGAGCTTAAAAACATGATGTAGATGAGTGTTAAATTTGTACTGCAGGTCACTCTGATTTGAGGCATTTGTTTATAAGACGTAGGTCCTGACAACACAAATATTCCCTTAGAAAAGTCATACACAAGTGTAAGTTTCAGACTCCGTCAAAGTCTCTGAGGACATGATTTGAGCTTACACTTGATCACAAGACACGGGGTTACAACCATACACGTTTTTTAAAAACGCCGCACGTTTTCAAGTATCTGTGGCATTCAGCTTTTCAAACGCTTCCTTTAAATATGTATTACATATTTTTGTGCATTGAAATATTTATGAAAGGAATGATTGTATCCTTTGTCGATTTCCTTGGCTTGGCAATGTGGATTCCGTCAGGGAGGCTAAGGGTGTTAACACAGAGACAAGCTTAGCATTCTCATCATTTGTCACCGAGTTCAATTGAAACCTGAGCTAGAAGGCACTGCCAGAGAGTCTGCTGTAGGGTAGACGTCCGCTCCGTGCTGGCACCGGGACGCTGCCTGCAGAGCCGAGGGTGTGTTTTCCTTGCCATGACTGTGATGGAAAATGTAATAATATTCTTCTCGAGTCTTCTGGGTGCGAAGCTAGGGATAACCAGTGTATTAGAAAAGCTCATAGGGTAATTTCGGGGAATCCCTGGGAGCGTAGTGGATTCGGAGTCGGGCTGCTAACGCAGGGTACCAGCAGCTCCGAGGGAACAAGATGGGATTCTCTACTCCCGTAAAGAGTTACAGTCTTGGAGACCCACAGAGGCAGTTCGACCCTGTGGGGTCGCTGCTCTGAGTCGACATCAACTTGAGGGCTGGATTTTATGCTAAAAAATAAGCAATCTGTCTTTCTGTC